CATTCTTTTTTTTTTTTTTTTTTTTTTTTTTTTTTTTTTTTTTTTTTTTTACACAAAGGGTTGTACCTTAAATTTCATAACCTCTTTTAGTCATTGTTGTTGAATGGAAGAGTTGGGTTTACTTCTATATTTTTTAGAATGGATTCATTGGAAGAGTTGTGTTACTGTTGATTTTGTTGGTTTGAATGATTCTTGTAAATTACAGGTTATATTGAATGGTTTGGATGGATTATTATATATCATGCAGGTCAAATGGAATTCTTTTTATATTTTATTTTTATTTTGATGGACAAAAGATTTGAATTGGCGACCAAAATTTGATTTGGTTTTTCCTCTTTTGGCGACCAATGGATTAGTCGGTGTTTCACTAGTCATATTTGGCGACCAAAATGTTGGTACGCGAAAGGATACATTTGGCGACTAAATAATTAGTCGGTAAAATTAATAATTTTGGCAACCAAAATGATTGGTCGTAAATAGGTCTATTGTCGACTAAAGTTTTAGTCGCACAAACATTACTTTTGGCGACTAACATTTTTGGTTGGGGAATGTGACAATTCGCGACTAACATATTTAGTCGGGAAATATCACTTTTGGCAACTAAAGTGTTTTAGCTACAAAATAGATTAGTCGAGGTAATTATATATTTAGCGTCCAAAAATGTTGATGTTTGGTATTGTCCTCCAACGAAGGCCATTCCGATTCTGACACGGACTAAGTCTGTTGGTTTACCGGAGAGGCGAAGAGATTTGTTGTTAGTAGGTTTTGGGGAAAGTGGTTCAGTTATTCAAGAACGCATAGGTCGTCTGAGTTTGTCAAAGATTAATGTACGCAGAGGTGGTGATGACACTAGTGAGGTTGATCCTGGTTCGTCGATTTCAGAGGTTGGTGTTAACAAAGAGGAAGTTGATTATAGAGGATTAGTTGTTATGGATCCAACATAATTTTCTAATGTTTTACGAAATATAATCATACGTGTAAAAAATAGTGATGTGACTCAAGATGTACAAGTTGTCGGAAGATGAGAGGTTTCCATTTGATGAGAGGATGAAGATGATGAGATGATAATATCAGAAGAAGAGGAGGATGAGTTGATAGTCATTCCGAAAGCTGGACCGTATTTAGTCATGCAATAGAAGGATATATTTGAGTAGAAGAGAAAAATTCGAATATTGACTGAAGAGGCGAAAATGACGAGACAGGATTACACCTGCTCTGATACCATGAAAAATATTAATATTGAGAGAGAGAGAGAGTGATTGAAAGACTAAACATAGACTCTTTTTTATTTCAATCTTTTAAGCCTTACAATGCTACTCCATTATATAGGAGGTTTATACAATATGATCAGATGGAGGCCATGAGGCCACGAGGCCAAAAACACAAACAAGCAGGCCACGAGGCCACTACATATTTAACTATACATTAATATATATTACATATATATCAGCATACACTCTGTTTATTATTATAATAACTAGCTTGATTAACCACCGAAAGCATATGAAATAAATTAATCACCGAAAGCATATGAAATAAAGAAAAGGGCTTGATGCATATGGCATCTGATGAAAACGTGGCTTGATTTTCAACATATATTGTGTAAAAAACATGTTTTTCATACTGAAAATGCATACCTGGCTTTGCTGGTTTACACTAAATCCTAATATATATATATATATAGACTATGGTTAAAAATTTGACAACAAAATCTCAAATCAATGAATGAAGGAGAAGATGGTGATATTTTAAAGCATGATCGGAACATGAAAGGTAAGTAACTATTTCATCAAACTAATTAACTGGCTAGTAATCTTTTCTCAAATTATATATATATATATATACGTATGACTTTAAAAATCAAGAAAACCTATCAAAATAATGATTCTGAGCCTCAAATCTTGGAGAATTCAAGATGGATGATCCAGCAAACGGTTTGGTTCATTATTACTATATAATTTAATGGACACTCATGACGATGATGGCTAGAAAGCCTCGAGGCGAATAGTTATATGCAAAGACGTGGAGGATTGCAACACCATATATACAGGTTCAATTTAATTTTCAGGTTTTTTTTTTTGTTTTTTTTCCAATTTGATATATTAGCAGTTTTCTTGATAAGACCAACGTAGGAGATTATGAATTCAAACAAGAAAAAATAAAAAATAAAAAGAATAATATTGAGATTTAATTCTTGTAATGATCGGTCCAAAATTTAAATGAATCTGTTCAATATACTATTTTTCTTGATATTTTTTTGTGTATGAGTTTCTGATCAATCCCTAACATCAGGGGCGGAGGCAGCATGAGACCAGGGGGGTCACGTGCCCCCGAATTTTGGGATTTTTTTTTTTTTTTGCAAACATAAAAAAAAATTTAAATAAAAAATTACAAAAATATTATTAGAGTGAAATGTCAATGACATTTTAAAAATTACGAAAACAATAATGGTTGTTTTGATTGAAAATGAAGAGACTATTATAAATAAACTATATTAGCTATGAAATTTTTTGAATGTAATGACGATATCATTATTAGTGATATGCAAGTATAAGCAATCCCACTATAAAGATATGAAATTTATTAGATTGTTAGTTACATTTGACATGTGAGGTTTACTTTTTATGCATTTATTTACCATTAGTGGGTGATATTACTTACCAATGATGACATGGTATTACTATTATATTGAATTTTTAATCAAATTTTGTATAAAAAAATGATTTATCATTATATAATTTATTTTAAGGCTTACATCATTTTTTTTTTGGTATTGTCCATGATACACTAATTATAAATAATATTTTTTTTTGATGCTTCCTGAAATCAATCGTAAAAAATTTACGTGAAATATTCTTTGTAAAAATTATTATAATTAGTAAGTGTCCCCTCTAAATTAAATTTTTGGCTCCGCCGCTGCCTAACATTGCTATCCTTTTAAATTTGGGTATCATTCCTATTCTCTATACTCTGCACCATTTTTTTTTTCTTTTTTGTTTTTTTCTAAGTTGTGAAATTGTTAATTTTCTATTTCTCGACAAATTGGTTTTATGCTTTTTATGGATGAATTCAGTTCGTTGCTTTTTTATCAAGAAAAGTAAAAGGGAAAAAGAAAATTTCAAAAAGACATGTGATCCAAATCTGATTTTTTATTTTGTAGTGCATTGTTTGTGGCACACTCTGTAGTACCTTAAAATCACGTCGTTTTGGAGTAAAATTTAAAAAATAATAAGTAAATAACTGCCCCTTTCATATCCTCTGTTCCAAAGATCATGGCTGAAGCACTACATGCAATGCATTATAGGTGATCCAGATTCAAAATTTTAAATTTCTTTTGAAAAATAATTTTATTACTTATGTGATGCTTTTGATTGGTTTTTTTACGAGGGATTTACGTGCAGGTCTTAATAGATGAACTTATTATTCAGTAGGTTTGATAATAATTAATGACATTTTTTATTACGACCCCGCTACGTAGCTCGAAACTCGGTGGCTCGAATTTGGCTTGACACCAAAACGACGTCGTTTTGGTGTCTTTTTTTTCTGTGTTTTTGTTGCAAAACAAGATTCAACATTTTAATTTCTTTTGAAAAATAATTTTATTACTTATGTGATGCTTTTGATTGGTTTTTTTACGAGCGATTTACGTGCAGGTCTTAATAGATGAACTTATTGTTCAGTAGGTTTGATAATAATTAATGACATTTTTTATTAAGTACTGTTAAAATAAATCACTAATTGTCAGTTTTTAGCGACCGTTTGAAAAAATGTCACAAAAAAGTCACTAATTATAAATTTTAGTGATTGTTTAAAAAATTATCACTAAAAAAATAACTAATTTTCAATTTTTGGCGACATATTTAAAAAATCGTCATAAAATGTTTTTTAGCAACATTTTTACTAGGATCAGCTTTTAGCGACAAATTAATAGGACTTAGGCACTATTTGGCATTCCCTACAAAAGTGTACTTTTTATATTTTTATCTTTTTTAGATTATATCAACTATTTACTTTTTTATATATTTTTTCGTAAAACATTAAAAAATATATTTATTTAGATCATCCTAAACACTCTCTTAATAAGATTTAAGTTTAACTATTAGAATTCGATGATAATTAAATCATTGTTACTTTTAGTATAATAGCCCCATGAATAATCCTCATTTCTTTTCGTTTGGAGAGTGGGTTGACTTTTTAACTTTTGACTATTTTAGCTTGAGGCTAACAAGTCTCGTTTGGGAAGGGGTTTTGGCTTTTTTAACTTTTTGTAAGAGAAATAATATAATGATTATGGATTGAATGAGATGTTTTGTCTTATTGAGCTAAAAAGCCTATTTTATTTTTTTGTGACTATTTTAGCCAAAAAAATCCAAACTCTCCCTTCCCAAACAAGCCCTTAAGGAAAAAGCTTGGGACCCCAATTTGGGGACTCGCATGACCCCCAAATGTGTGTGATTGGTCTATGTATGTGTGTGTTTATTTATTTATTTATTTATTTTTATTTTTCCTCTCTCTCACATAGAATGATGTGAAGATTGTGGGGATAAAGTTTTTGTGAGATCTCAGTCGTTGCTCTTCTTTTAATTTGTTTTCTGGCATAGAATGCATCTCTTCAGGACAAAACACAAATATATGGCAAAAATTTATTCTTTTCCCATCTCTCTCTCTCCTTTTAATCCTTTTTTTTTTATATAAATTTTCATTATGTCGTTCTCCTAAATTCATTTGGAGAGACAAATTTTAGAATATAGATCTTATGCTTTCTTTTTCAAATTACACTTTTTCACACTTTTATTTATTTTTTTATAATTATTTTTAATTTTTTGTGGAACGATGTATACCTGTAAAGCTTCCTTTAGCCAACCCTAATTTTCCTTATTCAACTCTTCTTAGTTCACACTTTTTCATTTTTGTTACTTCTCTCTCTCTCTCTTTGTCTTTTTATATCTCTTTCTCTCTCCAACTCATTTTCTTCTTTATCCTTGTCCTTTGTCTTCTTCATACGCAACCCCATTACCATTATCAGTTGTGTGTTGTTGACCTGACTATCTGATCAACAACACCACCATAGATCCAACAACAACTCAATCCTCTCCACCATCACTTCATTCATGAATTAATCCACACAAAGAAAAGAAGAAGAAAAAAATTGTATCCCAAATCCCAAAGTGGCTGAAGATTATTATAAAGTGGATCAAAGACATGGGAAGAGGCCTCTTCCATCCAATGAATCGGAGAAGAAAGCGAAAGAAGAAGACGCAGAATATGAAGAAGATGAAGATGGACACATCTTCCCTATCTACTCAGCTCGATCCCAACACGACTTGACAACCATGGTCTCAGCTCTCACTCAAGTTATTGGAAACACAAACACCACTTCTCAGCAAACCCCACTTCATCATCATCCCTTCCATGCCTCATCTCAATCCACTGTGGCCGATCAACCTAACCAATCTCAACCCAGTCAAGATCAAGGTATTATAAATAACACCCATAAAATATCATACATACTATGTTCTATATTCACCAATCAGTTTCAAGAATGTTTGTTTTGGTAACCTAACTCCAGTAATAGATATATAGAATTATAGTATGATTTTGTTGGTGTCAAGTTAAAGTCATGTTGTTCTTTCTTTATTTGTGTCAAAAAAAGTAATGATGGTGTCAGACTCAACAGTCATATGATCTATCCCTTTTTTGTGCCAGAACTTTGCCTTCATAGCTATGTCCAATGTTTGTGTTAGTCTGCATGCTTAAAAATGGAAATAATGGCTGTAATTTCAAATGAAAATAACCTAACCCTAACCCTAACTCTAACCCTTTAAGTTACAATCAAGATTTAACTCTAATTTTCTTTTCTAGTTCAATATTATAGGAATCATGATTGTAATTTATTATCGTACTTTCTCAGTTGTAAGGGTTTTAAATATTGTCCGATATGTTTTAAAAATTTTAAACTTTTATTATCAATATTAATTAATATATCGATTGATACTACTTGCTATGAGTTAATATATGACAATATGGTTGATACTAAATCATACATTTTTGTCTTAAGCACCATTTAAACTTCAAATCATCTAATTACATATGTGAAGAAGGTACCCAGAAGAAGAGACACTATAGGGGAGTGAGGCAAAGGCCTTGGGGCAAGTGGGCAGCAGAAATTCGTGATCCGAAGAAGGCAGCGAGAGTCTGGCTTGGCACATTTGAAACCGCTGAAGGAGCAGCACTTGCTTATGATGAGGCAGCTCTCAGATTCAAAGGCAACAAAGCTAAGCTCAACTTTCCTGAAAGGGTTCAAGGAAGGACTGAGCTCGGTTACCTTACCACGCGTCAAGACTTGCGTTTTGTTCCTCCTCCTCTTCCCCCGCCTCGTCCATTTCTATCTCAAGAACCCTATCCAGATCTTCTTCACTATGCACAACTTCTTCATAGTGGTGGTAATGTTATCAACAATGGTGTTTCGGGTTTTTATCCTAGAGGAGTACCATTTGTTTCTCAGTCTTTGACTACTTCTACTCATTCTGCTCCGCCTTCAACAACTTCTCACCATCAACAAGGAGATGTTATAAGTTTTTCATCGCAGTTTGGAAGTTCTTATTCTACTTCTGATGATGATCCTTCAAGGAATTGGCTCGACTTTGATACCAACCACTCAAGGTGATCTATGGTTTTAAAAAAACAGTATCGGGATATGATCTATGGTTTTAAAAAAAACAGTATCGGGATATGTTTCATATGGACTTCGCAGCAGTGCAGTGCAATATCTCATGTAAGTTGTTTGTTATTTTCATTACAAGCTTAAAAAACTCTTTAGTTAATCTTTTTTTTAATAAGTTTAGGCTGTGTTTTGTTGAGAGATTTGGGAAGAAATTTGGAAAGAAAAAAGAAAAAGTAGGTGAAATGTGAATAAAATATACTTACATTTTATCTAGTTTTACGCACTTTTTCCGTTTTTCTTTCCAAATTCGTTCCCAACTCTTCCAACCAAACAGTTTCAAGGAGTGTTGGTTTGATGAAATTTCTAATACATAGAATGATGTAAGGAAGTGTTGGAATTTTATATGTTAAAAGTCTCTATATTTAGTGTCAAGATAATGACTCCATTGTGTTTAACACTTGCAAATCCATCTTCTAATATGGGACCATAAAGAAACTTGAAGCTATATAGTTTTAAATTATATATTAAATTGATGTGTGAGAGATGATCAGATTTAGGGTTTCATTGCTGATACATAACCTTGCATGATGTCGTGATTTGTTTGATGGTTGTGGTTTTGGCTCTATGAATCTATACCCTATACGTACATATAAATATGACATGCCATTGAATTTGATTATGATTTTGTATCACCACTTATATAGATAAGCATGAGACAATTCAATGCTCAAACAATAGGAAGTGTTGGAATTTTATATGTTAAAAGTCTCTATATTTAGTGTCAAGATAATGACTCCATTGTGTTTAACACTTGCAAATCCATCTTCTAATATGGGACCATAAAGAAACTTGAAGCTATATAGTTTTAAATTATATATTAAATTGATGTGTGAGAGATGATCAGATTTAGGGTTTCATTGCTGATACATAACCTTGCATGATATCGTGATTTGTTTGATGGTTGTGGTTTTGGCCCTATGAATCTATACCCTATACGTACATATAAATATGACATGCCATTGAATTTTATTACGATTTTGTATCACCACTTATATAGATAAGCATGAGACAAATCATTGCTCAAACAATAATACTATATACACAATAAAATCTTCTTTTTTTTTCAATTATCAAAAAAAAATAATAATACTATAGACACAAAACCAACCGACCACGGATAAAAACTTGCCATCACTAGAATAGAACAAACTCTTTAACAGTGGTTCTAACTCTATGATATGTGTCGGTAGGAAAAAATATGAATTGTAACAATAATACTATCTTACATAATATTATCGAGCAACAAAAAATTATAAATGAGATTAGGTGGACAAATTTTGTTTCTCATTAATCCAATCATGTTTTTACTGTAAAATAAGATTATTTATTGAATGATATATTATCATTATATTTAATATTTTTTTATCAATGAAAAGAGATTTTATTGATGAAGAGCAAAGAACAAAATACAAGTACCACAACATCAATAAAAGATAACGAGTGCATTTTATTTTATGTGTCTGTATTCATAGAATTATGGGTCATTGAAATGCAGCATTAGATTTGGTGAACTTTTAGAAGTGGTGCAATAAGTGAGGAGTTTAAAAGCATCATTAATAATGTAGGACTGCAGCTAATTAAGAAGTAGCCGTCGTAGTTAGGCAGTATTTAGCCGTAGCAGTGGTAGTAATAAGCACGGGTTCTTAGTTAAGGCTCAAATCCATTTCCAACTTACAAGTTGGAGATAGTGGTAACCTGAATGGATTGTAATGCATCTCAAATTGAGGCACAACAGTGTTGTGCCTTTAGCACAGCAGTAATCTTTCTTTAAAGGTTAAAGGACTATTAAGGATTTGTTTAATTATTAATTTCAAGACTTCTAAAGATTAGTTCTCAACTTTCCATACCTGTTGTAGCTTAGATCCAATTGAGTTGGACTAGGCTGGGCAGGTAAGGGAAAAATAGTGAATACCTTTCTCATTGTTGAAAATAATATTTAAAAAAAAAAATTGTTTCTTTTTTGAATGACTTAAACTTTGAGATAATTTGATAGTTAACAATTATCAGAGCAAATATACAAAGTAACTCAAGTCCAATTGAGTTGTTGAAATATAATATAAATAAATAAAATTATTTATTACTCTAATGACTTAAATTTTTAGTTGATTTGATAATTAACAATTTAATATAAAGAGTCAAAAGAGGAAAAAAAAATACACTTTTAATGATGATAATGCTTACTGGAATTTATGCATGAAACACGTTTACATTTCATTGCTTGAATTTTTGGATCAAGAAAAAAATTCATGAGTTCTTTTGAAATTTAGAGCACACAAGGCTAACCATAGTTTTGAATTTCAGCTTTGATAATGAATCAGAAATCATGCGAAAATACGACGGCTGAGATATCAAAAAAAAAAAAAATGTTGTATATAATATTAAGAAAATCAAAAAATGGATGAAATATTAAAAAAAAATATATATATATATATATTTTGTAAATACTGGCGCACACCTCTACTGATCGTAGCACCCACGCAAAACACCCCTTTTATGTGGATTAGGGAAATCTTGAGTACAGGCCGCGGCCTGCAGGCGTGGCCTCAAAGAGTTGAACTTGAGACCTAGAGAGAACATATCGCCTCAAATTACACTTATTAGAGCATCAACATTGGAATGACTAAAAAAGTGCGTTAAGGTGCGTTATATGACAAAAAATGATAAAAGTAGGGCCAAAAAATGTGTGTTAAAGTGTGTTAAGAGTTTGTTAATTTTAGAGTGTGAGTGGTGGTACAATAGATGTGTTAATGGGTGTGTTAAGGTGTGTGTTAAGAATATATATATATATATATAATAAATAAAATAAATAAATAAATAATTTAATTTAATCAAAAATTTCAAGTCCAAAAAAAAAATATCAACAAGTAAATAAAGATTATTGCAGTTAACGGGCTGATTGTTCGGTCGAACTTCCTGCCGGTCAACCAGTCAGACCCAAATTTTTTATTTTTTGCTTTTCTTCAAGGGTCCAAACGTCCCGAGGTGGACTTCCGGCGAGACGTCTGGGGCGACTTCCGACGGGAGGACTTCCCCAGGCCCACAACACTCTCTCTTCCCTCGCTGGCTAAACCGCTGACTGGAGTTAACACACAAGTTAACATCTAACACTAACGTTAAGCACTAACACACAAAAACATTAAGCACTAACAAACACCCTGAACTAGCCAAAACTTGGCATTTGACGCTAAGGTTGAGCTTAGTGTGTCCTTTGTGGATGCTCTTAGGCCAAACTCCTTAAAATTAATTCATATGTATCTAACAAATAATTCATATATATCAAACAATAACAGAAAATTAATGAAGAACTGACAAATTATGCAAATAATGACTACCAGAAGAAAATAAATGTTGATATCTACGAATTTTATATTTTGCAGTAAACCTTAACATTAAGTTTGTTGATTCTGGACGAAAATAAAATAAAAAATAATTATTCTTCCATACTAAATGGGGTAAATTATAAATATGCCATTCACTTAAAATACTAATCACTTTGCTTGGTTCCCATTTTTTAAAAATAGCTTTCAGAAAATTTTACACTTATTTTTCGTGTTTTTTTGTTTTTACTGAATTTTTTAAATATTTTATGCAATTTTTTTACTTTTTAGACACACCTAACATAAATCCACCTAAAAAGTAAAAAAATTGTAAAAAAAATCTTTTAAAAATTCACTAAATACCAAAAATACAAAAAAAAAATACAAGAATTTAGTACATTTTTTGTATTTTTATGTATTTCTTAATTTTTTAAAATATTTTTTCACAATTTTTTTATTTTTTAGACACATCTAAATAAGGTGCATCTAAAAAAGTAAAAAAAAAATGTTTAAAATTTTAAAAATATTCACTAAAACACAAAAAAACACGAAAATCAAAAAACTCGGTTTTTAAAAAATTTAATTCAAAAAACTCAAACCAAACACAGTGAATTGTCCTATATGATTATGAAAATGACAACTCACCCCTTAAAATTTCTATTTACATATATAACAAATAGCTCCTTTTATTATTCAACCATTAAGTCAAATATTAGTTTTTAACGATGTTAGTACTATATTTTAATTAATAGTTCTAGTGATTTCAATGTTGTATGGAAGGATATCTGAGAATTTTATTTTTTCTTTAAACTCTATTAGATGACGAATTTTTACAAGAGTATATTTGTAATTTTCATAATCACAGCAGATAATTTATATTTTAAGCAAACCTTAAGGGGTGCATTTATAATTTACCTTACTAAATATGTATTATATATTGGAGACATCAAACCCAAAACGCCTATAAAGTAGACCTCTATTAAAATATTTTGATGATTAACTCATCTAAAAGTTCAAATAATTAGGGGGAGGAACAAGTTTATAATTTATATTCTATCCTTAACAAGGATATGGACCAAACTATAGTGGTTTAGAGCCCTACACCAAATGGGGTATAAGATTTATTGGATTATCTTATCCAGTTGTCAATTGGTGTCTTAGGCTTATTAATAATAATAATAATAATAATAATAATATAAGAATTATATTGGAGAGAAAGCATAGACTCTCAACAAAAAAATGTTATCCGTATGACATAAAACGCTTCGTTTGTTAAGATAGTTGAGACTAAGCTCTCGTTTGGAAAGCAGCCGGTTTAGTTAAAAAATTATTAAAAAATTAAAAAGTCAATAGTCCATATCAAAAAGTTAAAAATTTTCTTTTCTCTCTATTTTTTACACATCTTTTCGTAAAAAGTCAAAAAGTCATCTCAAACATACTAGTTTTTTTTACATCACATTTTAGCCAAAAGTTACTAAAAAAACTGTTCCCAAACGAGGCCTAATTTAATTTATTAAAAAGTTAAAAATAAGTTAAAAAATTAATAAGATAGAGAGTTATTTTGAGAAGATGGTTAAAAGCTAATTTTTTGGGATTTTTTTAAAAAAATATGTAAAAAAATGTGAGAGAGGATGTGACCCAAAATGAATTAAAAGTTGGAAGATGACTTTTAACTATCTTTCCAAAATAATCCAAAATATCACCTCTAAATTATAATCATTTTACTTTCTCTTTCACAAAAGTACAAAAAAAAAATTAAAAATTCCTTCCAAACAGAAAAGTAGCTAAAAAGTCAGGCTATATATAAGAAATTTCAATTGAAAGAAAGTATCTAAAAATATTTAAATCATCGATAAATTTTAATAATTAAAATTTTAAAATTTTCATGAATATGTATTATTTTATGAAAATCCCAATAAATTTTAATTTTTGCTAAAATATAATTATTTTAGCATTATTGGAAAAAAAAAAATTCAACTTATATTTTCTTTCTAGTTTTACTTCCACACTGTGTACTACAGAAGAGAGAGTTCTTTCTAGTTTACTTCCACTGTGTGCTAAAGAAGGAGAGAGAGAGAGAGAGAGAGAGA